CATGATAATGCACGGCCCCATGTTGCAAGGATCTGTACACAATTCCTGGAAGCTGAAAACATCCCAGTTCTTGCATGGCCAGCATACTCACCGGACATGTCACCCATTGAGCATGTTTGGAATGCTCTGGATCGGCGTATACGACAGCGTGTTCCAGTTCCTGCCAATATCCAGCAATTTCCAATATCCCCCCCTTTTAACAGCAACTATATGCAATATAATATGGGGAGCTAGTCTTTATCATTTATTTTCAAATGCTTTAAATGCATCTGTTTTATTGTTAAAACTTTGTTCCAGACCTTTAATCTTAAACTAATAAAAATCTGAATTATTCCATTTAAAACTGAAATCGCATTACCACCAAGAATAAACAAATAATTTCAACATTCATGGTTTGAAAATTATTTAATCCATTTTTCATGTTACAACTGTCTTTCTATTTCAAAAAATGTTAATTACATTAAAGGGATAGTCCACCCAAAAATGAAAATTCTGTCATTAATTACTCACCTTCATGTCATTCCAAACCTATAAGACCTTCGTTCATCTTTAGAACACAAGTTAAGATATTTTTGATGAAATCTGAAAGCTTTCTGACAATGCATAGACAGCATGGGAACTACCATGTTCAAGACCCAGAAACGTAGTAAGGACCTTGTTAAAACAGTCCATGTATTCTGAAGATGAACAAAGGTTTTACACGATTGGAATGACATGACGTTGAGTAATTAAAGACAGAATTTTCATTTTTGGGTGAACTTTCCTATTAAATACAATATATAATTTTAAGTTGAGAAAAAAGACAGAATTCTTCTGTGATGTTCACTGTTGGACATTGTTAGTGGACAAATTAAATCATCTACTGAATGCTCTAGTGGCCATTGCTGAGAAAACACCCCAGTATTTTTGAGGTACGTCCATTTCAAATGTAAACTCCAGCAGTCTATTTGATACAATTTGCTATGCAGTTTTTAAGGTGGCAATTTTGTTTGCTCGCCCCCTTGTCCAAATTTACCACCTCATATGAGCACAAGATGGTTTTCAGCATTTCACGGCATGTTTAAAAATATGCCGGGTACATTACTTAAAAGGTACTTATCACTTTTTGGTTTTCTCTTTGGGGTAATAGGATTTATGCTTATGCATGCCAAGCCAG